GAGAGAGCGTAGTGTTGAAGAGGGCACAGCGATGAGAGTCGCATCAATGCGCAAATCAACGGGCAAGGAAGGGGTCCCATTCTCGGGTTTCGGGCCGTTTCAAATGGTTTCTTCTTCATCCCTGCTCCACTGACCACCTCTACCCTTATTTCCAATGAGCTAACTTTTCATCGTAAATTCTGCCCTCAAGGAGAGTAGTGGAGTGCAAATGTTTCCGTGCTGCAAAATTACCATTTATGATCCTCTCTGCACGGCTCCTCCTGCTGCTGCATGCAGCTTTGTCCAAAAAGCGATTATTAGTTCAATAAAAGTCAGTGTAGTCGTATTCCACGAAGCCACCTTTTTGCTTGTAGCCTTAGACACTAAGGCGAAAGTGAGACTCCGATCATGCATCTCGCGAGCGGAATTTTGCTCGTGCACAAAAATAAAGGAGTGGGTGCGAAGGATAAGAAACTCTTTCACAGCTCCCACTTATGTTGGATTGTTCGGGAAGTTTCGCCGACTTTAGTAGCTCAAATCTAACGCTTAATTTTCGAATCACTTTTGAGAAGCTGCTGCCACTTTCAGCAGAAGAAGGCGCGTTTCTCGCTCTGCCTGAAGCTACTGTTATTTTAACCCTGAAAAACATCTCCACTCCTTTTTTGAACTCTCCAATACAACACACTCAACAGGCTGTTATATACGAGTTTCTTATTTCCTCTAGAATCTGATCGGAAAGGTGCTGGACCAAGTCGGGATGCATTATCACAGTCATTTCATGAGGTTAGCCATTAACACTAAATTGGAGCTCAGAACCCCCCCCCCCCCTCCTCTCTCTCTTATCCACTGCCCTCCAGCTGTCTCTGCAGCACCATATGCATGGCTGAGAGTGTTGCCTCACTGGGTGTCTCCGATAGGCCATCCCATCGCGCGGCGAAGGAAGAGACGCAGACGCGGCAAAAAGGACGAGTCGCAGCGCATACTGTAGCGGTTAGGCGTCAGGTTAAACAGAGTGTACCATACTACGTCTCATATCGCACAGCACGCGCTGCGACTCGTCCTTTGCCGCGTCTGCGTCTCTTCCTTCGCCGCGCGATGGGCCTCTTGGGGACACCCGTGCTATTTAGGTATTCATATAGCCGAAATAAACCGACACACCCAGGTCGTGATTTTTATAACGAATTGATAACGACGTGCGAATAAAATGGTCTTACAAAAAATAATTTACGCTCATCAATTAATTGTTGTCAAAGGCCGGCTTTATCCCAGTTTCTAGAGGCTTCATGACTCAATCTAATGCAAACATTTTGTAATCAAAGTTGAATAGAAAACGGTAGTTTTGAGATGGTTAATGGATCATTTCGGTGCGCGCCACGCACATTGCATTGAGCAATATAATAATAGCATGCATGGACCCGTGCTCAAATGACATGCTGAAAATCATGAGTTATTATAGTTAGAGGGGAACCTTTGCATTCAGTCCACACTAACAATTTCTCCAAGGACGATTTTCATTGGACGATTTCTGCAAAGGGAGATCGAACCAGCGAACGTCTTGAACATCTTGAAATCCCTATCCGTTGTAGTACATGCTTAAATTGGAACACGAACACGAATTAGGTGAAAAACCGCAATTTTTCGAGTTCCCATGTGGCAAGTGGCACGCTTACCACGCGAGCGGTCCGGGGATCAAATCCTGGGTCGTGAGTCGCCCGGGCCAACCAAGCCTTCCATCCCTCCGGGGTCGGTAAATTGGTACCAGACTTGTCTGGGAGCTTTTTGCTTTTATCCCATGGGATTGGTTTCCTTCCGTCCACTTTGTTGATGATGCCAAGACTTTTGAGCTCTTAGAAGATTGGCTAGCGGAGCTATTATGAAGGCCTTTGTGTCACCAAGTAATTGAGGTCGGTTCGAGACACCATTTGCGGCATTTTGCGATCATGTGTTGTTTTTCAGTGGAGAAAGGTCAGAATTAGCGTAGTACAACCTTGAGAGTGTCTGGTCTTTGTAAGGAACCAGACGTTATTCCCAAAGAGCTGCAGCTGTTTTCTACGGCTGACATTGATAGTAGGCAAAGGTTTGTAATTGTGGTAGTTTGGGTACTTTATTGACGGTCAATCGTAGCATATTTGCTGAGGATAGAGGGCACAAATAACAAACAAACAAGCTGGAATGCGCCCTATATGCGAATTCCATTCGAATTGCTATAAAAAGATACTCGTGAAGATTCGTTATGTTGCTATTAGGCCTATTTGACGGCATCCTGACCACGTTATAAATGTGCTTTTTTCCCACCCTTTCCACTTCGTAAAATCGCATTCAATCCTCAATAGATGGCTTCCTTATTTTAAAGACAGAGTTTACGATGAAAAAGCACCAAAAATCAAGGTAAGTGCGGTCTGTGATGCGGGGACGAACAAAAAGCCATGAGAAACGGCTTAGAACCCGAGAATTGGGACTACTCCCGAACTCAGAACTTAAACTCGTTCACATCCTCATCCTTACCCTGAAATCCTCCTTCCATGATAACGATACCGAATTCATAAATAATCAGGTTAAAAATCGGGTCATCATTGGGTTACAGAAAAGGAGAAAAGGAGGAAAGAATTGCGCCAGTGCTATGCTACAATGCTATTGCATTAGTAGCGGATTTTGGGAGCTCATGTCGTTAGGGGCGGGTGGGGGTAAAGGGTGTAAAAGTAGGTGAGTCCACTACAATACCTGGAAGTGAGCTTAAGGGAGGGGAAGGGTTCTGAGAGAGCATGTTGGCACTCCCTGACGTTTCTACTCTCTCCCGAGCTTAATCCTAGTGTCACTCTCCGGCGGTCCTTGAATATCACCCCTCCCCCCCCCTTCAACGGACATGTGCGCTAAATTTCGAATATTCCAGTCCCTGGTTAAACGAAATCCACCACACAAGGAAGAAAACCTTCAGAAATTATCACAAGAATGCTGAGTTGTGGGCAAAACTTTCGCCCAGCCGGGATTCGTACCCGGATCTCTTGCTTTCCGGGCAATTGTGCTACCAGTTACACCACCGGGGCACCATTTCACCCCAACTCAGCTTCGATGGTAAAGTTACCATAGCCTATCAGCATTCTCCGGTTAGGCGATTTCGGCAGTAAACCGCAGGGCTAGGAGCTTTATTATATGTTACCCTTTTGACCTAGTCCTGTTTGAATTTGAATTTTATTTGAACAAAAATAAGTTAAAATGGTAACATCTGAATTTCAGAAGTTTCTTTGTGCAGTTCAATCTCCTGCAAGCATCCTCTCGAGCATTCTTGTTGCACACTAAAAAGCGTCTAAATAGCCGATTGGCTGGTTTTAGCTGAGTGAGTTTTATGGCCAGACACTAGCGCATTTCAATCAACTGGAACCGGCTGAGCCACCTCGGCCTGAAAGGCTGGGAGCAGCTGCCCTGTGAATAAACTCCAAAACACTGCCATTTCATCGCAATCCCTGGTGACCGATGAAACTGAAATGACGGCAGATCCTATTTGTTCCAAATTCGGTGAAAATGGACTAAGAACAGAGGCTATTTTGAGGAAGCTTCGTCACCATTTAGCAGGAAAGAGTTTATTCAAATGCCTTCTGATAGAATATGTGAGATTTCGTCAAGAACAAGGCAGAATGCAATTCTCCCTGCTTGACCCCGCGATTCCATCTTTTCATCTTCTTCTGAGACCTGAAGATGTTTTCGAACTTCTGGTTTGCGACCGCCGACTAGACTACCGACTGCCCCTCCTCTTTAGTTTTACCGCTGACGATATTTTGGGAGTACCCGACCCACCAATAAGAGCATTAGAGCTGACGTAGACTGGTTCTGAGCATTAACTCGCCTCCTTTAGTTGAGTTAGCATGGGCGAATGAGCTGCTGCTGAAACTGAATGGAAATGGAATTACATTCACTTGTGCCAGTTCCCGATCTTTGCTCGATTTCTGTGCCTTCGGGAATTCCACCATGGCCGTTCCCCGTCAACTAGTTATGTTCAGTTCCTAGAGATAGCGATTGCCCTGCGTTGTGAGCTGCGCCGATGAAAAGTCCTCAAAAAGGCGTTGTAACTGACTTACACTTTGACGGGCCTTTCCAGAGAAGTGTTAATTGGACGTGGCCGCTATCGCAAGATAGGGGGTATTATGGTGGCAGTGCATTTAACCCATTGCAGGACCGCGTGCTGCACCATGTGCAGCACGCCACCACTCGGAAAGATAGCAATGTTTGAATTTTTCAACATTTTGTTGAGTTACAAACTCAACAGCAAGCTTTCTAAGACACAAAATATATCATACCCTCTATTTCGGAAAGCGAGAAAAACGTCGGGTGCAGACCACACATCACAATGTACGACGGCCAAGAAAAAGAAAAGAGCAAGCCACTTTTTCTTGGCCGTCGTCACTTGTGGTGTGTGGTCTGCACTCGATATTCTTTCGTCGTGTTCCGTTGTAATGGGAGGGTACCGCGTTTTTGCCACATTGATTGAATTTTTTGATAGATTAGGTGTTCTCGATAAAATTTGTGAAAAAAAAACACTGGCGATGCACACATAACCGGCCGGTCCGTAATGGGTTGGAAATGGCGTAAAACATGCTCTTTTGGAAAACGTGACCAATCAAAGCCGGCGAAGGGGGAAGGAGGGACGTAAGCAAACCAGCCCTTTTGGCGTTTCGGCTGGGACCGTATGCTGAATGTTGGGGAGGGGATGGGGTCCCCAACGGTCGACGGTTTACTTCAACTCGGTTGGTACGATAGGAGAGTACTGACGCAAGTGGTGCAGCTGGTCCAGCAGCTCCGCCAGAAGGGCTGGTTTGCTCACCCCAGGACTAAGCCTTGGAGAGGGGACGGACCCGTCCTCTCTTTAAGGCTTAGTTCTGAGGTAAGCACCAAATTGTGGCGGTTCTAAGGACCGAGTTGAAGTGGTCCGTCCACCGTCGGGGACTCCATCCCCTCCCCAACATTCAGCATACGGTCCCAGCCGAAGCGCCAAAAGTCGGCCGGAAGGGTGGGGGTGGGGGGGTCGGAGTGTTGTGCTTGAGCGTGGCGAAGTGAGGTTGGTGCGGAGGTGCCGATGTGTGGTGGATTGCTTGTAAGGTGAGTTGTCGATTCTCTCGGGCTTGTGATTCTCCGGGTTCAGTCGTGCTTTCGCTGGTAGGCTTAGAGCGCGAAGGATTTTGAGTGGGGGTTGATGGGTGGGGGGGGGGGTGGGGGTGTTGGTGCGATACAGCTTGGCTGTTGTTGATGAGCGTTATGGCGTTAGTGTGCTCAAATATGATTCTCGGTGGAGCGACTGCAGAGATGAGTGAAGGGTCTATCGTCGACATGTTGTGGGTGTTCTTATCCTGGTGTGTGTGGCGAATAGATTCTTTCGGCTGATCAGGAGGGTGGCGTTGCGGTGGATGGTCGCGCGCATGAGGTTCTTGGTGGCGATTTGAGTGTTCGAGGGTGGGGTGAAGGGGGGGGGGGTGCACTGGGGTGTTTGGTGTGGGTGGGTGGGGGTGTGTGGAGCGAGGGCGGAGAGGGGTTGGGGGGGTGGGAGCCCTTTCAGTAGCAGTATGCGGCGCTAAGGGCGGGGGGGGGCCGCGCTACCGTCTTTTCGAGGGGCGAGGAGGGCGGGAGAGACGAGGGGAAGAGAGCGGCAGCAGATGAGCGAGCGCGAGAGAGACGTGGTGAGGGCGAGGGGCGCGCAGAGTTGGTGAAAAGTGAGAGAGTGCGGAGTGAGTGAGCTGGAGGCAAGCGGGCGTGAGAACTCGGTGCGCGCGAGCGGCGAGGAGTGTGAGTGCGCGCTGTCGTGTGTCGGCGTTTGTTTCGAGAGGTCGTGGTGGGCGGCAGGTGTGTAGAGATTGTGAGTGTGGGAGGTGGGGGCGCGCGCGCAGGAGGGCGTGGGCGTTAAATGCTCAGTAGTTCGTGCGTGGCCCATCACTCGGAAGAGGTTGATGCTTAAAGGAGGAAATTCACGATTAGAATGAAGGTCGAAGAAAGGGAAACTGACCTAGTTGAGGGACCCACGGACCTCCTGAGGGTGCGAACTGACGCGCAATTCGCATGGAAAAATTTGACCTCGGCGACCTATCATGCCTCAAAGCTGGCGGGTCCGGCGATCTCCGCCCACCGATCATCTGATCACTCGCCGTAGTTCAATACGTGGCGAGTGATTAGATAGCTGAGAGAGCGTAGTGTTGAAGAGGGCACAGCGATGAGAGTCGCATCAATGCTCGAATCAACGGGCAAGGAAGGGGTCCCATTTCTCGGGTTCTGGGCCGTTTCTCATGGTTCTTCCTTCTTTCGTGTACCACAACCTAATTGAAAATTGGTTTTGCTTTTCATCGTGAATTCGTCCTTTAAATATCGTTTTTCCTTTTCTTTAGCGAGAAGTCCTGTCATACTCAAACGTCAGTCACAGTACGGCAGGGTATGGCAAAAAGACCCTACACTAGATTCGCCCTACCAGATAAGTTCGCGGTAAGTTTAGGTTCACATCAATCACAAACACCGGCATACAGCCAAGGGCCACCCCTAGCCCGATTCGGTGGCACAAAAATTCGGTTCGGTTCTTCTTCTTCTTAAATTTCCACCGGTTCTTTAAACCCCTCTACACTACTTATTCTAGGCGCAATGTGGCTTCGGAGGAGGTGGACCGCGCGTACCGTTGCATCAGATTTATAGAAACCCTCTCAGTTTTAGGGCTAGGCCTTTGACTAGAAGAAGGATCCGAGGTGCGTGAGCAATTCTCTTTTTTTCGGAATTCGTCTCTCCCCTCTCCATTTGCCTATTCCTAGTGAACCTCCCACGACTGCCACCCGACTGCGCTCCGGAGGCACATTGCGCCTTATTCTACAATAGCAGTTAAAAAAACCTCTATACGACTTGGCTGATGCAACCTGGACCAGACTGCACCTATTTGATATATTATAGCCCAGCATGACGAATAATTGACCGCTTTGAGGCCATAGGATTCAGCTTGTAGCTAATAATTGCTGTGGCAAATTAATTAGCCTGTTGGGCTCGGGATTACGTGACTACGTGGACTTTCTTCCATCTTCTTAGCCGCGAATGGCTAGAGCACAGACGATTGGAGCGGCGCCTGGCTCGGCTCCAAATCCCAAGAAGGAAGGTGAGAGCCCTTGGACTAAGCCTTGGACTGAGGACGGACTCCGGGGTAGCATTCCTCGGAATTCGTGGTGTTTGGTTTAGAAATCGAAAACTCGAACAACTGTGCCGATACGGTGCGCGAGAGGTGACCCATTAGGTAAAGTCTGCTTTTTAGCAGCTTTGAAAAATGCCAGCGGAGGCTATAGGCTGATCAGTCCATCTGGCGGTTCTTGGAAAGGATATCAGATTACTCAGTGATCAGATACTCGCAGCGGCCAGTGGCGATGAAAGTCCGGCTGGCCACAAGGTGACCTATCCTTTCAGATCCTGATAGGGATGACCACTGAGGCATGATTTAGCGAAGTTGTCGCTAACCTTGAGTAAAAATTCATCACATGAAATCAAAGGGACTGATGGGTTGAGCCAAAAACCAGCTACAATAATAATATTAAGAAGGTTTTCTCTATAAAAAATTAGAAACAAGATAAATATTGCTGTAAACTGCGTTGAACAATCGCTCTGAGATGCGCCATGGTTTCGACATCTTTCAATAATTGTTGATGTTTTGAATACGTATCCCACGAAAACCATGGTATCAACGGTGGCTCAATCCAGTGTTGGCTACCCAGCCAAGTTCCCACTACCAATTTCCCACTACCGAGACGATGGTAGGCTTGTTGGTCAAGGGGGATGGTAGATTTAAGTCATGAGGTATTAAAAAGGAAAAGCTAGATTAGAAAATTCTTGCTTCCACTGAATTGAAAGACTTACGCTCGAGCCAACTTCATTTTTGAACATACTACTGCTGCAAAGGCGGATGTGGAACTTATTTGTACGCAATTTGTCTCCAGCTGAGCATGCAGATAAACAATGGTGTGTCGGTTGAAGATTGGCCATAGTAGTCATTAGTTCGAGATGGTTAGACGAGAAAGGAGCGATCCTAGCCGGAATGCCTCAAATCAGGTCCTGCCGTGAGGTACAGCTGCTGCCTACAGAATGTTTGGAAGCATCTCCTTAAAGGCACAACCCAGGCAGAAGTCGTGTGAACGATTTCCTTCAGTCTGTGGGATAGACCCCTAGAGGACTATCGCAGATGTGGCGTTCCGTGTGCAAAATCCACCTCAAAAGAGCGCTAGA